ATCCATTTGAAAAAGTTTGAAAGATGCTCAGCTTTGCTCCATCCTCCCTAATTTCTATGTGATCGTTTGCTTTCAGTGGAGGACGGGGACCCGATTTCCTGTGGTCTTTCGTAAGCAGGTATAGAAGAACTTCGGGTTTGCACCTGCTCGGTTTAGCCGATCCTTTTTAATCTTGGTGTGTCCTGAAGATAAGTCGCTCCACGAAGCTCCTCTGCACTTTGTGTGCGTTAGTGGATTGAGGATTACTAGCAATGAGCGATCTCCTCCACAGCCTCCGCCTGTTATTATTTTCTTTCTTCATCGCTTTATTCAGTCATTGAAGTCTGTTTTTTAGCTCCTTCCGTTTAACGTTGCGAAAATCCCCATTCGATAATTCAGAAGGGCAGTTGGCGAGCATAAGTTTACTTTCGATAATTCCCTTTGGTCCATTACATTTATATGGAAGGGAAAGGTACAGGGTAACAAGCAATCATTAATTATCGTTCTACTCAACTTAGTCTTGGTAATGGGGGCTTGGGGGGCTTGCCACTACCCGCTTTTTATCAACCCAAACCCCAAGCTCCCATTCCCAAGACTAAGTTGAGTAGAACGATAATTAATTGATTGCTTGTTACCCTATCTTTCCCTTCGATATAAATGTAATGGCCCGAAGAGAATTTATCGAAAGTATACGTATCTTCCATATAAATGTAATGGCCCAAAGAGAATTTATCGAAAGTATACGTATGCTCGCCAACTGTCCTTCCGTTTAATCGGATCGTGATTTCTGAGGAGAGTGTGCAATATCTCACTGGACCCTTCCCAATCTTCGACTATATTGCCGAAAAAGCAGATTCCCAATTAATGCTGTTACGTTCGGCCTTCATTTAATCGAAATCACCACGCCAAATATCTCTTCTAACTCTGATTGGCTATTCAGGTACCGAAAATATTGAATAGTCCCCATGGAGTACAACATGATCACTTCCGCCTAGAGGAGATAGACATTGCACATCGTCGATGCTGTCCAGGGCTTTCGTGAGCACCAGGTCCAAACAGTTTGTTTGCTGTCCCTTACGCACCCTGGTGGGAAATAGGACGTGTTGAGTTAGAGAGGAAGTGAGTGTCAGGTCAAATAAACGTCGGTCGAACGCTAGCTGCGGGCTACCTCCGTATGCTAAATCTCATCTTGACTGGAAAGTTTACATTCCTTCAGGCTTTTTAGTTCTTCAAAGATCGCTTCTTCTCGAAACAAAATAGTTCAGTATAGTTCTGTATATTTAGGGTAATAGGCCATGCCTTTTGAATTTTTTATTTTTTCGCAACTAACTTTATATGGATAGTGCTGTATCGGCGCTAACAAATATAAATTCCAATTCCAAACTAGTGGAAACGGTATGCAAATTTAATCAACATAAAATATATAAATTAATATAGTACTATCAAATTTTGAGTAACATATACACATGTACATAGTTTAAAAATGACGAGGCCCTTCGGGCCTAAAATATAAAATTTATTTATTTATTTAACTTTACGCATTGTCATATACTACTGCAAATACCATTTGACCTTGCCTGTAAACTGCAATCAATGAATAAATGAGTACCACACGAGGATCGTAAATAAAATTGCCAAATAGCAGACAATAATTTCAGCTGTAAGTATGAGCGGAGCATTCGTATGTTCTAACGGTGCTTTCCTATGCATATAAACGGCAGCTGTTAAGTAAATATACAGCAAGATTGTGTTTAAATGCCTCTGTCGGGCAGGTCCTTCGAGGCACCGACGACCAGCCATGAAAACTAATGACTGTGGACATCCAGATGGGGTAAGGTTCCTGGGGGTTTGAGAGAATTTCCACGCAGGTTACTTGATGCGGCGAATGCGAAGAAGCCATCAAACTGCAAGGCACAGTCTCGATTCCTCACTAGCTGGTATGTCTGTATGAGATCACCTCGGATCTGCCTATACTCAAGCCGAAAAAGAGTAAGTGCCTCAAGCCTGCATTCGTAAGCTAACGACTTGAGGCCTTTCACAACATTTGTTGCCCTCCTTTGGACCTTTTGCAACCACGGGCGCCATGCCTGAACTCCATATTCTAGGTGTGAACAAATAGGGGTCCGGTATATTTTCCCAAATTATTCTTCATCGATATTGACAAAAGTTATTTTAATGAGAAAGAGAACACTAGTCGCCATCTTGACAGCCCTGACACACTGAGAAGAGGGCCTCAGAGATGACACAATTGTGATTCTTAGGTCCTTTTGCTCAGTTTCGTTAGACAAGCACCTGCCATCAAGTAATAAGTGGTGAGAGTATCCCATCGCGCTCGCTTTCTTCGCTTTGAGCCGGAGGGTGACACTTCTCACAGTTAAACTTCAGCACCCATTTACTGGACCATTCACCTAGACCGGCGGTCGGCAACCTTTTTAACTCAGAGAGTCAAGAAAGCAAATATTTGGAGATATATTTCAGAAAGAACCATATAGTATATCTGTATACTTAATAAAAGTCAAACTCTGTCTGTGTGTATCTCCGTTATCATTAGTCGCAGGCGCAGCACGCGAATCGCTGTTCACGCGTGTTCCCTCTGCACAAGCAGGCCTGTCCGTTCAGCGATCATGTTGCTGTCGCCCAGTT